GCTGAATGATACAAGTAATCACAGATTGTAAAGATAAAATAAAAATATTATGACTTTGATAATTTTCTACCCACAAAACAAAAAATATTTGAGAATTTGGAAAAATTTTTACCCACGAATTATGATGATTGGCAAAAATGATAACGCAACTTTTGGAAAGAAAATAGATGATTACTAGGATGATTATCGGGGAGAAGGACCAAAAAGGATTATGTGCGGGACAGAAAGTGATTTGGACTTACGATTTGTTTTCTCCGATAGCCTTTAGAGCAGCGCTGGTCTGCCTGTATTTTCGTAAGTTTCCGGATGTTGTAGGAATGTTATCTTGAGCTAGTCCTAACTGTCCTTCACGTAATCTTGGTGATTTGATGATGTTCCTTTGTGCTCGTTGAACAACCGACGCGCTGACTATATGTTATTTGGATCGGGACTTTTCAAGTCGTCCGGTCGCTGTGGCGTCGTAGTAGTAACAGGCAGCTGACAGATACTGCCTGTCTACCCTCGTATTACAATAAAAAATCGTCCAAGGGATAGGAAAAGGTGGGTAAGCGGATGTAATGTTACGTTATACGCATTCAATATATTTGAAACCGAACAATAAGAAATCTCAACTTTACCTAAATTGTATGCGTATATAATTTCAACGTTAAGTATAATGAAACGTCAATATTATTTAAGATTTTCCCTTTTCAGGGAAGGCAAAGGGAACAATGCCCATAAAGCCTAGTCTTTAGTTATATTAATCTTCTTTTTTTACATTCGAATGTCGGTGTGACGCATTTTAATGTTTCTTGGAGTGTTTGGCACGAAATTTATGGTGGTGGCTTTTTCTCTAAGCTTCTGTGAGGTAGTCAACACTACAATAAAGTTCTCGCGTCCACTTTACCGTAATAGCGTATATTTTAAAGATTCCACTAATTCTTCAGTTGCGCAGACGGTTGTAACACCAAATCACACCAATTTTATTTCACAATATCCACTATGAACGAATTTTAGAATAATTAAAATAAGATGCCAACCGCACTCGCAGAAATCCGGCCAAAACTCCGTATCGTCAATAAGAAAATGGTACGGAGTTTTGGCGGGATTTCTTTCTTTAATTATTCTAAAATTCGTTCATAGTGGATATTGTGAAATGAAATTGGTGTGATTTGGTGTTACAACCGTCTGCGCAACTGAAGAATTAGTGGAATCTTTAAAATATACGCTATTTCGGTCAAGTGGACGCGAGAACTGTATTGTAGTGTTGACTACCTCACAGAAGCTTAGAGAAAAAATGGTTGCCTGTAAAGTCGGTTTTACGGGCGAAGATTTTACGTGACAACGTCTTTTTCTCGGTAGAATATTTATTGATATGAATATAATTAAATTGCACAATAGGAACAAGGAATTGAATGAAAATAAGAATTGCACAAATTTTAACTATAGAAATATATTTTGTTTACTAAAACATTGTACATGTAAACTTAAACTCATCGTAACGTTACCGAGCGTTACACTTTTTCATAAGTGACTCCCAGCCGCAACCTAATTTAAGACGTTGTCACGTCAAAAGCCAACTCCATAAATTTCGTGCCAAACACTCCAAGAAACATTAGAATGCGTCACACCGACATTTGAATCTAAAAAAAAGAAGATTAATATAACTAAAGACTAGGCTTTATGGGCATTGTTCCCTTTGCCTTCCCTGAAAAGGGAGAATCTTAAATAATATTGACGTTTCATTATACATAACGTTGAAATTATATACGCATACAATTTAGGAAAGTTGAGATTTCTTATACTCAAAAAATGTATACTCATATTTAATATGAATGGAATTCATAAAATATCATTTTGTTGCTTGTAAAATTCTGCTCTAATTTATTATTATTTTATATAGACTATGATGTTAATTTAATCGAGAAAAACGGAACGCATTCGGCAGAGAAAGAATATCTACGATAGATATAATATCATTGGAATATCGAAAATCCACGAGAATAGCATTTTTTACCATCAGTAGATATTTTCAATAGATATCCCTCCTTTCGATATTATCTCGAAGCCGATATAATATCTATGCCGCGAGAATTGGGCCCCTGATCAGAAAAATAAAATCTATTATTTTAGGCATTCAGTGATTTGTTATAATAAAAATAAGGGCCAAATTTGTCATAGTTTTTGGGAGTTATGAATTAATATTGTTTATTTCTATATATTGACAGAATTTTTTTTTAGTATACATTTATTGTTCATTTATTTTAGTATAACGGAACATTTTCCTTTTGAAAGAGACATGAAGTCAATTTTTACTTTTAAATATATGATTATTTCACGAAAATTGTATGAGAATTATAAACACGTAAAAATAACATAATAATTAGTAAAAAAATATTATAAAATTACGGACTAGTGCAAAATAATTATACACGTTAAGGGCAATTTCTTAGCCATGTCCTTTTGGTTTAGATAAAGAACAATTCTGTCATATCTATATAACTTTAACCGTTACACGGCGCGGGCAATGGAAGCTCAAAAATATTTGTTTCCCTTTTTTACTACATTTTTCATTGATACACCGCCCCGCCCCCATACATACTGATCGTAGCGTGATTTATATCTATTAAATGTTTCCATGGCGGGCATACCATTTTCACAAGATGACCTAAAAGTTGCTGTGCACTTTAGCTATGTAAGTGGCTATCGGTATATTGCTAATTAGCAAGAGCCTTCCGGTGACCGGAATGTAATGAACTGACTACTTGAGAGCTGCTCTCCAATTAGCGATCATCCCGCCTCCTTTCGGAATAATAACATGATTCGCAGAAGACTCCAGTGTCAGCTTATTCAGTTAAAACTGTTTGTTAGGACAGCCTAACTTAATAACTATAAACTGAATACTCCAATAATAATGAACTATTAAAACATTTATTGACGAAACAGAATCATGATTTGGATTTTGGAACTTTGCATAAATACGTTGAATTCAACCATGTTTATTAAAATTATATTAATTTTAGAACACAAATAATTTTAAGCACATGCCTCTCGGCTTCTTTTCTGAGATGTACTTATTGATATGAATCCGCATCCGTAAAAGCTCCGCATCAATTGATGCGGATCAATATAAATAAATAAATATTTCCAACACTCACACCAATTAGCCTAGCCCCAAAGTAAGCACTGTAAGGCTTGTGTTATGGGATACTAGGGTAACGGATAGAATACATATACTGTACATATATAAGTATATTTTTATATAAAAATACATATTAAACATCCATAACTGGAGTACAAATGCTCGTATTCATCACACAAACATCTGCCCCCACCAGGATTCGAACCCGGGACTTCTCGAGTCAGCGACACCATGAAACCCGGCGTAGAAACCACTCGGCCACGGAGGTCGTCAGATGGCTGAATTAATGCGATTACTCAGCATATGCGGATGCGAATATCCGCAACACCCCTGCTTTTAAACACTTCACAAGTCGCACTCACTTTACAATGTATTGTCCTTGAAGATCATAATTAAACACCTATTATTACAACAGGTATATTTTTTATTTCTTATGACGTGCTGGCTCTCGTAATACAGTGGATTAATTGGACCTAATTGTGTGTTATTAACTATGTAGTTTCGGTTTTACTTGAAAACAAATGTAATTAACGGAAAATATCTTGTTTTACTGGGGCAGGTTATAAAAATTTGGGTTGTAATTAGAATGTCCACGATCGAGCGGCCTCGAAAAGGGCAATATTTGTGAAATGAACACGTGCATTTTTCAATTTAACTTAAAAAATATGATAACTTATTATTGTAGGTGACTGTAGGTTTTAATTGCTAACTGAGGACCATTTTGGCTTATTGTGATAAAATTGCGGGTGAAATCAATAGATTTCTTTTAATACTATAGTAGAGACTAAAACAATTGCTGCATGCATATAAGTCGCGGCACGAAACTCTAGCGCTGACCGTTATTGCACAGAAGTAAAAATTAAAATGTCTTGGCTCTCCAGTCGTACCCATGCGCAGCTATAAAAATAATGGAATGAGCGGTTCGATAAATAGTTCGGAAGATCACAGCGAGCGGTGATACCCGAACTCAAATTAATTGAAAAGAGAGGTAAATGTTCGTTAGTTGGACGGACCTTATTAGCGCAGGTGGCCTGCTCTTATTATACAATAAGTTTATTTAAGCTGCTACTAAGCAAATTCTATGTCATTTTAATTACTAAAGTATGATTCGAATTACGAATAAAAGTTCCTATTATTATTATACAATTTGTTTTATTTAATTCCTTCAGTCAAAGCAAAAGTAACTTAATTTTTCGTTACTATTTACGTACTGTTATTTTTTTTTACCACCTCATTGTTTATAGAATTGCTGAGAATGAGATTTCTTACCGACAAATTCCGATTTATTACTGCCCACCGTAACAGCTTGTTCAATATTTTTTACCGCCCATTTAATGATTTTCCTGCTCAATTATATATCACTGATCCATTTAATTATTTTTTTGACTCACTTTTGTTTACTTTACTGCTTAGTTTTAACTGCTGAACTAGTTATTAAACGTGCCATTTATAATTTTTTACATACCGAAACTGTTATTTACAACTGCCTCTTTAAATCATTGCCATAAAAAATCTTTAATCACTCCTTCGTTTATTCCGTATGTGTAAAATTATCATCATCAGCCTATTCATGTCCTCACTGCTGGGGCCCGCGTGGTGGGTCATGGCCCTAGTGTGTATTGGTGATTGACCTGACCTGACCCTGACCAGTGCGTATTGGTGGGTGCTAACGACTGCAGATGCAGACGGGGCCAACGGCTTAACATGCCTTACGAAGCACGGAGGATCTCCATAATAAAATTTTGATCAGCCATACAATGCCCGACCACTGCGAAAGTTGCTTAACTTTAACGTTCGCAGCCGAACGCGCTAACCATTTGCGCCATCGAGTTCCTCATGTCTGTCTAAAAAACATTGCATTAATAAGGCTTAAACTTACTTGGACGAGTCCATGATTGAGTATGCCCACTTGTACTCCTGGTACTCCATGTTAGCTCCAACCTGCGCCATCTTGGCTGCCCTCTAGCACTCCGGGCGGGGTTGTAGCTCTGCTGCGTGGGTCCGAAATCAGGGCACCGGGCCGCTCTGAAAACAAAAACGGATATCTAGTGACTTTGCTACATGTTAAGTAACTGTTGTCAAGACTCTAGTAAAAAATCTACAGAGGCCTAAGCACGAACTTTGACAGCTCCGTAATCGTATCGGATCGTCAAAGTTTCTATGAAAACTAAGCACCCCTACCGAACGCAAAATCAAACTGGCTCCTTCCATACAAATTTTGACGATCTTATACGGAGCTGTTAAAATTCGTGCATGGGTTAATTACGGCTCTAGTGCAAATCTATTCAAATTTGCGCCCACTTTCAACTCTTGAAATTGATTAATGTTAGATTGATTGCAAATGATACTGAAGACGAGATATAAAACCTTCACGTTGCTCTTTTAAAAACTTTTAACTTGAAATAAATTGTTTGAGTCTTCATAAACAAGTAGGTATCTACTGTACCTTTGAGCAAGTAAATTGCAATACTTGATTGCTGTCTAAAAAACACTTGTTGATAATCACAGAAAAATGAATACTATTCAGTAAAGTTCTATTGAAATAATTTCACCAACACAAAATTATTCATATAAAATCGGAAGTCAAATCCACACGAACAGTTAAGTTGCGTCAGTCAGCTGCGTTAAACCAATTAATAAATGCCATCATTTAGTCTCACACAAAAGCGGAGACTATTTCAAAACATAACAATCGAACACGATATATTAGCAAACCGTGGGATCAAGGCCATGAAGATTCATGAGATTTAAAACAAAAGTGTTTGTTATGACAAGGGGGACATAATATTCACTAGTTGTTGAAGCTGTCACACAAAACGAACCTAATGGAGGGTAACGCGACGCGACCTGTCGTGTAGCAAAAGACAAAAAAAATCTAAACCTTATTCGTAACTAGCAAATACCAGATGGCGTAGGACTTTACAATAGAGTATGTAGAAGTAGAAACCCAAAGGGTTTAAAGGAATACCTTTCACGTGATTATTATTATTATTACGTGATACCAATTGGTACAAAATACTTTTCATTTCTCATTCTCGGAAAGTGGTGTTGTTTTGATCTGTTTGTTGGGTAGAAAATGCTGCTTCCCTCCCTAGAGATGGAAAAACTCATACAAATTACTTCCCGCCTAAGGGCCGGAATGAACTTTAAAAATAGAACTACTGTCAGGTGTGAAGAGTTTTATGTAAAAAAAAAATATAATGCCATGTGAGTTTCTAAACAGCCAGTGTGAACTTAGCACAAACTTCTTTGAGCGGAATAAGCCGCAACAATTACCTCTGTGAAGTTAGCCCCCCACTTTTTGAATTTTATTATTATCTAGGTTGTTCTGGGTTGTTCTACATTTTTCCAAAGTATTATTTGAAAAAACTAAAAATTTGAAGCTGCCAGACAAGAAAAACCGTTTTTCTATGGTAGCCCCCATGTTTGGAAATTCAATATTTTTTTAGTTGTTCCAAGTTGTTCTAGTTGTTCCGAACATTGTTCCAAAGTATTATTTGAAAAAACTCAAATTTGAAGCTGCCAGACAAAAAAAACTTTTTTATGGTAGCCCCACATGTTGGGAAATTCAATATTTTTTTAGTTGTTCCAAGTTGTTCTAGTTGTTCCTAACATTGTTCCAAAGTATTATTTGAAAATATTCAAATTTGAAGCTGCCAGAAAAAAATAGTAGATTGTTAACCGAGGGTGGAAAGAATCAATTCCCGAGGTATTTAGACTATAGTCCGAGTAGGAATTGATTCTTTTACCCGAGTTAAACACTGTACTTTTCATTTCGAATATGAGGAAAATAAAACTAGTTGTTTAACAAAAATATTTATTCATAAATAGTTATATATATACCATAAAATTAGAAGTAGCTATTTAAAATTAATTATCATATTAGGACAATTACTGAAATTAAAAGTAACATTCTTGTTTGAAACTATGCTGTTTGATATAATATTACAAATTTGGCTGTTTTGGATATCTGTAAAAGTAGGACACTCTGTTATTTCATCAAACGATGGATTCCATGGCGGATACTCCCTGGAAGTTGTCTGCTGAGGCGAATTGTAGGAGCCTGTAGTTTGCTAGACAGTCCATTAAAATATGTAAGAAATACACTTTCGGAAAACGATTTTATATTCTTCTCTGCTCACCACTTTATAAAATCATTGTATGTATTTATATATCTCTTTTTTAACATTTCTGGCAAAATATTCTCTATAACACAATTTGCCTCGTCTTTAATTGAATCCGGTGTCAACATTTCTGAATCGCTTGAACTCATTTTTAATATTCAAAGTTGGATTGCTCTGTTTTACTTAAAAGATTATTATTACTATTTTTTTATTCCATCACATAACAGATGCATAACAGTTTAGTATCCCGCCAATTTATGTCGACTTTTTAAATTTAAATATGGAACAGCGTAATTGTTGCGGCTTATTCCGCTCAAAGAAGTTTGTGCTAAGTTCACACTGGCTGTTTAGAAACTCACATGGCGGCAGCATTTTTTTTTACAAAAAATTTCACGCCTGACAGTAGTTCTATTTTTAAAGTTCATTCCGGCCCTTAGGCGGGAAGTAATTTGTATGAGTTTTTCCCTCTCTAGAGAGGGAAGCAGCATTTTCCACCCAACAAACAGATCAAAACAACACTTTCCGAGAATGAGAAATGAAAAAACCTTTTTTATGGTAGCCCCTCATGTTTTGAAATTCAATACTTTTTTAGTTGTTCCAAGTTGTTCTAGTTGTTCCTAACATTGTTCCAAAGTATTATTTGAAAAAACTCAAATTTGAAGTTGTCAGGCAAAAAAAAACCGTTTTTGAGATAGCCCCCCATGTTTGGAAATTCATTATTTTTTTAGTTGTTCCAAGTTGTTCTAGTTGTTCCTAACATTGTTCCAAAGTATTATTTGAAAAAAATAAAATTTGAAGCTGTAAGACAAAAAAAAACTTTTATTTATAAAATAAAATCAATCGTATCTACCAGACACAATAAATATATCAAAAATCAATTTAAACAATGACGATTGTACAACAACAGTATAACCGTGGGCTATATCGTTCCAATTTCATTGAATCATTTTGAATTAAATTAATAGAAAAGAAAACATTAGAATATACGGTAAACTCCCTAATTGTTGGCACTTTAAGAGTAGGTAGCATGTCAGACATTAAATTACCATAAAATCACATCTAAATGAGTTAGTACACAACACATGTTACACATGTAACAGTATCAAAGAAAGTAGTTTAATCTTTGTTTTCATAATGGTATAGTCAATGAAGGCAAAAATCAGCTGCAACCTCCGATTTCGTTGAACTGCCATCGATTTTCATGAAAATTGGTAAGTAGGTGGGGGATACCATAAGAAACAAAAGTGACATAGTGCCAACTTGCGCTTTTGCCCTGAGGGTAGATACCACCCCTTCTCGGGGATGAAAATTATTTTAATAAAAATAACTCCAGGAATCGATAGAAAGACAAATTCTAAGTAAAATTTGTTATATTAAGTTTTCGGAATAAATCAATACTTTCTGAGTTATTAAAGATTAAATATTGTGATTTTGCGTGATAAAAATACATGTTTAAGCGGTTTTTCATAAATATCTCAAAAACTATGAGCTTTACAAAAAAAATATTAGTACCAAAATTGAAGCTAATATAAAAACAAACAAACGCCTACTTTGAAAAACCTAATTTCAATTCAAAGTGAGCTATAGGTAATTGTATGTACATATATTTTTTTCGGCAAGTACTTAAATCTAAGTATTCAAACCTAAATAACGGGAATCCGATGAATTTATGACATACACTTCCGGAGCACTTTTTAAATTCATCAGAAATACCTTTATAATGAGCACTGTAAAAAGTTAATAGCTTCAAAATTGAAAAAGTTATGATAAAAATAAGATAACACTTATTTTTTTTAGGAAAAACGAAAAATAATTCCAACCATTCATCAAAATGCATCGGTTTCCCGTTATTTAGGTTTAAGTACTCGTCGAAAATATATATATGTTACCGGCCAAACCCGAATTCAGGACAATCTAGTTTTGCCTAGGCTAAACTGGTTCTTCCTATACGCGATAGGATTAACTAGTATAGCCTAGTCCAAACTAATTTATCCTAAGCGCGACAGGATAAACCAGTTTAGCCTAGGCCAAACTAGATGATCCTGATATAAATACGCACACTCTAGGATAAACTAGTACGACCTAGTCTAAACCAATTTAGCAAAGCGGAAAGTAATTGAACAAACATGTCAGGACTTGTACAGGGCGCGTCATGTAAAAAGAACGCTGGAAGAAAGTGGAGGGAGTGTTTTTTCTGTAATTGGTTTTTGTTTAACTCTTTTGTTGTTGCCGGGAGTTCGGAAGACAGTAAAACCGGGTACGCATTAGCGATCTGTTACCGTAACATGCGTGATACAGTACGAAGTTCTAGTGTGTACGCTAGTAGCTCAGTTGTGAACGTTGGCTCGCTTCAAACCGCACGCGTACCGTTCTCGCAGCAGGTTATCGAACCACGTACACACTATGCTTTTTGGTTACAGTGCGTGCAACGGTTATGGTTACAGCTCGCCAATGAGTAACTACCCGGCTTAAGAAATTCCGAATCATTCGAACCTTTTACAATTCATCTCACTGTAAACTCAAAATATTTTAAGAAAAGTTTACTAGAAAAAAAAACCACGCAGACCAGGCAGCGGACCGGACTCGAACCCGCACCCTTCGCAATCCGGAAGAATGCACTGACCATTATGCTACCACGGCCCTATTCGCCGCGTCGAAATTTTCCTAGCCTTAAGCTGCAAGGCAGCGCCATCTCTTCGCATTGTAGGTTGCAACCACGCAACCCACAATGTCAAATGAATACTTTTTCAAGTATTAAACATTTGAAAGAAGAAATAGCAATTATAGTTAGTGTTTTTATTTATTTTTAAGCATTTAACTGCTAGG